ATATATTTTGGAGTACAATCACAATTTTCTTCACTATCTGAACTAGAAATATCATTGTAATAATCATCTTCTGTACTTTGTTCTTTTTCATTTATTAATAAATTTATTAATTTGTTTTTAACTTCTTCATTATCTACACAGATTTCTGAAATTTTTTCTTTTAATCTGCACTTGTTTGCTTTATGTCCTACTTTCCCACATTTGTAACAAACAATTTTCTTTTTAATAAATCTTTTCTTTTTAGTTGGTTCATTTTCCTTGGGAGTTTTATATCTTGTTTTCTTAGAATATTTTTTAATTTTCTTTTTATAGGCTGATGGTGATTTAATTCTTTTAATTCCAAAAGCATCACAAAATGATCCTACTTCTTTTGTTTTAGATCCATATTTTATTTGTAATTTTAATTCTGAACATAATATTAATCCTTCTTTTTTCACAAAAGCAAATAATTGTCCAAAAGTAATGTTTTCGAATGAAATTACATCTGTTCCCATTTCCTTTTGTAAACTATCCATTATTCTTTGTGAAAATAAATTTGGTAATCCTGTTATGAATCTTTCTTTCCAGAATGAAGCATTACAATCTGGTCTTCTTAATACATTTGTTAAAAACATATCTTTATACCATCTAAAATCTGATAAAGTTGGACATCTTAGATTTGTTAAGAATGTTTTATTGGAATTTAATTCTTCTTTTGGGTTTCCTATGAAGTACATTACTATTGTTACTATTAAAAATTCTGCAGCATCTGATTGTATTTGAATATTTCCTTGATCATCTTCTATTTCTTGAGTATGATCTAGTATTGATAATTTGTCTTGTAATGTTAAGGCATTATCCCACCAATTTTTTAATTGTCCAGTAAATCCTGAGACTAATAATGTTGCAATATTTCTTTCTTGAATATTTTTAATCTTATAAGCTAGTCTAGCCATTCCCATTTCTTGCAAATTATTTAAGACTTCATATTCTGCTTTGCCATCTATATTCCATTCATATATTGAATCTCCATCATATTTAATAGTTCTAAATTTTGATCTTTCTTCATATTGAATATCTGGAGGACTTGGTCTTGGATAATAATTTTTTGAACTTACCATTTTCCAGTTTTTATCATTTTTATAAGTTCTTCTTTTTATTCTATTTATTTGATTTCTTCTTCAAATTGATTTTCTATTGGTAATATATTTTCTTCTAAATCTGAGTTTATTGATTCTTCTGTTGAATTTACTAGTTCTTCAGTAGAGTTTTCTTCTATTGTTTGATCTAATGTGTTTATTGATGGTTTAGATTCTGTAGTTAGATTTTGTAATGCATTAGATATTTTATTTAATAAATTATCTGTATTACTTATCTTTTGATTATTAATACTTTGTACTAAATCTTGTTCTTTTTCTCTGGTCAGACTTCTAGGTTGAAAATGAGGTGCTGATATATCATTAGGGAATTTTAAATCTGGTTTCTTTAGAGTATCAATTTTTGTATTTAATACTTCCATATGTTGAGATATTGTATGTAGAATTTGATTTGTATAATTATTTTGTTGATAGACTTTTTTAAGATCTTCAAGATTTATTGAATTATTTGTATTTGATTCAGCTTCTCGTCCCTTTTTAAAAGGTGAGGCTATAATTTCTCCTTGTCCCATATTAATTTTTACTTCCTGTAATGGAGGGTGTATTGAAGTTATAACTTGTTCATCTTTTAATTTTCATTTTTTATATAAATTGGTTTGAACATTTATTTGAGGTGTATTATATATATCATTTATTCCTAATTTTGACATATAAAATGATAACCATGTAAAGAAAGGAAAATCAAACTTTTGTTTGTCTAATTCACTTTTCCATTCTAGAATTAATTTTTCTTTATACTTTGATTCTAATTGAAAAAACCAAATTCTTTTTCTGTATTTTCATCATCTTCAAAATCTTCTTGTAAATATTTATGATTTATCTTATATGGTTTATTTATAACATTTATTTCTCCTTGCATTTGTGAATGAGTTGGGGAATACTCTAATTTATTTATAACTTCTGGTATTGGTGTTTTATATTTAAACTTTGCATTTACATTTACTTTAATTGAATTATGTTTCTATTTTGACTTGGCTATTTCATGCATTTATGTTACATATTTTATTAAACTTTTATTGAAAACGTTGGTAAGACTTGAAGCCTTGTTAGACCGTTGGTAAGTCCAGGATAGGATGTTCCAGGCATAGTGCTCGTTGTTCCCGTCTAAGTAAAAATTTAATTAAATATTAAGCATGGCTGCATTTCTTAGACAATTAAAAATAGAATCTAATTCAAAGAAAGATAATGTAGTTCAAAGTCATGAATATCATATGCCTATAAATAATTCAGATTGGACTATTCCAGAAAAAAAATAGAACACATTTATAGAATTGCCCTTTAGATTTCAAAACTGCTTTATCAGTTAAAACTCATGAAGAAACAATTTCCATACAAGAAGAATATCAATCTATTCAACTATTAAATCATAGTACAATTCAAAAATATTTAAGTAAAGAATATCGGTACATTCATATAGGTTTAATACAAATTGCTGTAAAACCTTTATTCCATTTAGGAGTAGATGCTCCAATATATCTAGCTTTAAGAGACACTAGACTCAAACGGTACAAAACTTCTTTACTCTCAATGATTCAAACCAATGTTTGTAACGGAATATATTTTAACTGCGCTCCAAATTTTTCAATAGATTTAACAGATCCCCATATTCTGAATTCTGTTATATTAGATATTCATATGCAAGGAAATGAATTTGAAAAACATACAAAGAATTTTGCAATAATATATAGAATATATTATAGACCTTTATCTTCATATCTAAATCCAAAATTTATAATGACTCCAACTCTTAAGGAAGAAACAACTTTATTACAAGTAGGTGCAGATAAACCCACGACATATACACCAAAAAGATTAAAATGGAACGAAATAACTATACCAAGTGAATTTGAAATTAAAAATCCACAAATAGCTAGAAATATAGAACAAACCACTGCAGAAGATATCATAGAAAAAGCAGATGGAAGTACACTCATAAGATTCACCTCATTAAGAGAAAGACCAGAATCCTCTTATTCATGGTTACCAGCTAGACGTTCAAATTATGAGTCAACTGAAATTAATTTTCCATGGTTTTGTGAAATAAATATTTTCTGTGGCTTTTTCTGGAGATTTTGGAGTTGGTTGAATAAATCTTATTGGAGGAAAAGTTGGAGTGCTAGCAGCTTGACTATATGTCAAAGCTGGAAAGTCTTGAAGTATTTGGAATCTATTTTGGTTTATAGGGTTAGACTCATCTCATAATCTTGAGGAGTCTTGGACCTGGAATTACCTGCTTTTGAATCCATAATCCTGCAAAATTAACAAATAATTCTGTTAAGGTTTCTTTAAGCTGTCGAATTCGGTTTATAATGGGCTAAATATCTTCTGGAGGATGATTGGCTTTTTCTAGGACATTTTTGAAAATAATATTTGAATTAATCTGCCTTTTTAGAAGAAAGGCTTGTTCTTTGGAGTGGTTGCAGACCAGAAACTATGTCTGATATGAACTATATCATGGTTTCGAATTTGAGAATAAGGAATAGGTTGAATAGTTTTGTCGGGATTTTTGATATAATAGGTAAATGGTCTATGGAAATATTTATATCTCTTTTTTGAAGAATGTGGTTATCTCTTTCAGCTCGTAGTCTTCGAATGTATTCTTTATGAGTTTCACGTTCCATTTCCCTGTAAAAATTCTCTTGTCAAGAAGTCAGGAAGAGAATTATTCTCTCCTTTGATGAATTCTATATCAAAGCCAAAAACTGAAAGAATTGCTTGCCATCTAGCAAATATTTGTTTTGAAACTATATTTTGGACATCTTTTTGTAAAATTTCTTTTGCTGATTTGCAGTCTATTCTAATCAAAAATTTTTATTATATAAATCATCTTGGAATTTTGATATGCATAAAATTATGGATAAAATTTCTTTTTTAATAGTTGAATAATTCTTTTGAAGATCAGACCATGTTCCTGAATGAAATCTAACTAATTCTTCTTTTGACTCCTCTAGTCGTTGTTTTAATATTCCTCCATATCCTAATTCTGATGCATCTGTTTCAATGATCATGAATGCTTTAGGATGTGGTAAACATAAACATGGTAATGATTTAATTTTTTCTTTTAAATATTTTATCTTTTGAGTATGTTCTTCTGTCCAAGTTTTTGAATTTGCTTCGGATGCCATCTCCGTCTCTTTGATACCACTTCACTCAATAAAGCAAACAAGTGCAGATTAATAGAAGTGGCTCTTCTATCCCAGGTAGAAGAAAAACCAGGTCTAATGTTTTAGTATTGAACATATCCCTTGAAACATCCCTTGATATCCAAATTTCTTACGGAAGTAAACGCGAGTGTTAAATTTATATGATTAGATTTTCTTCGAAACCAAAACGCAAAATTACATTTTCAAATTGGGGAAGAGATATTTTTTCATGAATAATTCATTTAAATATATTTACGTAACATTTTAATAACTAGTTGGTCGGTACAGTTGTTAATATTGTATTTTCATATCTCACCCTTGAGGAACTATATTGTCCTACATTTATTGTAAGTAGTTTAATGATTATAAAATATATGAAACTCTCACAAATAAATTATTATTCCCATATTTTTTTCTTTAAATTAGTAACGTATTCCTACTAAATTATTTCTACATAGAAAAAAAAACGAAGTCTTTAAACAAATTATGTCAAAAAAATAAATTATTAATAAAAGTTCAAATGTCACTAGAAGTGTCCTTAAAATGATTAGATCCTTTCAAAACTTGGGACTTAAGAAAAACAAATAAATTTACTATAATACTTAACTAACAATTAAGAGACCAAAAAGGCAAAAGAGAACATTTACGAAATTGCAGTGACAGCGTGACATAACTGCCTTTTTTTTATTATTTTTATTATTAGTACAAATGAATACTTAAATCTCTGCTCTTTTCGCCTTCTGTTCTGTTCTGTTCTGTTCTATTTGCTGCGTTCACTTTTGTTCTTCCTGATTTCTTCTTCTTCGTCACTCTCACAGATCTCGCGCCCTCCAATCTCCATTTCAATCAATCATCTACGGGTATCACTCCCTCAATTTCTATTTTAAATTTATGGAATTTACTTTAATCAATAAGATAAAGTTCACTTTTTTGTTTAGTGCGCCTATGAGTAGCCGAGTAGGATTGATCACTTTGTCGATTTTCAGCTGATTAATTAATGGCTTTGTTCTTCATTTTGGAATAATTTAGTTCTGGGCTTCTTTTATTGTGTCAGAATTTTTTCTTGGGCGTCATTTGAATGTTGAAATATTGTGGGGGGTTTGGGATCAGAAAGTTGATTGCTTTGATCGGATCAGCAGGTTATTTGATTCTTTTTTCATGTGATTAATTAATGATGAATACTGTTTTAGGATTGTGAAATTATGCGCTTTAATTGCTTAATTGACTTGTGGAGTGCACGTGTTTGCTTTATTTCTCCATTGATGACTGGAAATTTTCCTGTTCTGCAATATTAATGGGATTTTATGGGGTTTTCCTTTGATTTTCAATTTTTGGTTTTTTTTAGAGATTAATTCCCCGGTCATTTCCTGTCCCTTTAGCCCTTGTTCTAAGTCCAATACTTGTTTAGCTTTCTAATGTTTTCTGGGCATTTTGGATATTGTGATTTTTATTTAACCAGGATAATTTAGTGGCAATTTTTTCCCTTTTTTCCCTGATGTACTTTATATGGAATGGAAAAATTCGGCCGTGGTGAAGTGTCACAAGCAAAAAGGGTACTTTTTGAATTTTGTGGAGCTGGAACTGTTTGTGCTTTTTTTTTTTGCACCTCTTAATCTAGTTTGAACTTGGGTATTAGTTTGAATTCTTAAATTTATCCAATCTTTCGTTTGTTGCATTGTGAATTAGATTCAAAATTTTTTTTGGTTCCGCATTAGAGCTCAGCTTGCTGTGTTGCAATTGGGGTAAATGGTAGCCTGTTTCTGCATAATTAGAAAGTGTATTTCTATCATTCTTCTCTTTCTTCCTCCTCCTCCTCCTCCTCCTCTTCTTCTTCTTCTTGTTTGTTAATATTATTTCCTGTTCAAACAGTAGAAATGCTCATAGGTGACCTGGAGTGGAGTCTTCTGGTGAGTTTTCTTTGGGGAATATTTCTTTGGGGGGGGGGAGGGGGAGGAGGATGATCTGAGATATTTGGATGCTGTTTTGTTGGAACCATGCACTTGACATGTCAAACTTGGATAAGTTACAAAAGTTTTAAAGGAATGTGGGAATGAACAAAGTACTAGAATGGGTAAAGATACAGTTTCTAGTATTTGAAGGCCTATAATTTGTTTAACTAAATACATTGAAAATGATGGATTCCTTGTGTGCTGGATGCTATCCTTTTCAAAAATCTTCAATTTCCTTACCATGGTTGTAGCCTCAATGAACTGCTCATTTTGATTGTCAAGGTTCAGGCAGATGTCAGAAATTGTTAGAACAGCCCATTCTGTTTCACCGTAAGATTTTATTCCATACAATGGTCTGGATAGTTTATGCAGAAAGCCATTTTTATTACATTTACTGGCTAGCATATTTTTCGTAAAAGAACTGTACTGTCATGAAAACCATATTATGTGCTGGTTTCTCACAGTACATACAGTTTAGTGAAATTTGAAAACCAGCCCTAAATTGATCAAATTTACCTGCTACCGCGTTTAAAGTAGATTTTATATTTTCTTCTGAAATAAATTCTGATTTAATTGTCTTTTTTCTGTTCTGTAGTTGGTGTGGAAGGTTTGGAACTTGATATTAGGATATCTTCAAATGAATTTTCTTTTATATTTAATATTTTGACCTGAGGTTCCGTTTGATGAAACTGAATATGAATTTTGAAATCTGAATACTGAAACAATTAATTTGCTGAATTTTAAGTACTGAAAGGAAATATATGAATGTCTGAATTTTAATGCTAAACTTATTTATATTATTTGATAAATAATTATAACTGAATGCTTAATAAGTTTAATTTGACAATTTTGCCCTTATATCTTTTCATTCAAAAAAGAAATAGAACCTGTGATTTAATTAGTTTAAAATTGTTAGGTATGAAAATGATAATATTTATTTTTAAATCAAATTAATATAAAAAATGAAATATATTATATGAGGAGTATGGAAAAGATGTGAAAGTCATTAAAAAGGGATAAAAGAGAAACAAAAAACCGTTATATAGAGAATATCAGATTATTTAATTAGATAAGAATTTTGAACATAATTAACAAACAAGGGTAGATTTGGTAGATAAGATAATGTAGTTGAAGTAATTCTCTTGATTCTTATTAGAATTAAGCATTCAGTTAGGATTCTTGTGTTGAAAAAAATACACACAAGTTCAGCACTGCTTAACAAGTTTAGTAGATGGATTTTTATTTATCAAACACTCAAAACATCTGAATGTTTGAAAAGGTTCAGTTTCAGCACTTTTTATATTATCAAACAGACCCGAGTCTGAATACTTTTGTTGATTTGGGGGCAGATGCAATGCAGTCAGCTAGTGCTGCTGCTCCTCTCCCTACTGCTCAGGTAGTAGGTAATGCTTTTGTGGATCAGTATTACCATATCCTTCACCGATCTCCAGAGCTTGTCTACAAATTCTATCAAGATTCAAGTGTACTGAGTCGCCCAGATTCGAATGGCATGATGACTTCTGTGTCCACCATGCAAGTATGTCTTTCACTTTTTTGATTTTCTGTACCTCTTGATTTTCTCTTTGGAAGATTCCTTTTTGTTGGACATTACATAGGGCATTAGAGATTCTTAAGTGAAAATTTCAGTTCTTGGATTGCGTTAAATTACTATGCCACTGAATTTATGGTGTGCAATTGCCAGGTGCTTGCCTGGTCACTGCTAAATTATTGAACATAGGTATAACATCTAGGCACTGTTAAATGAATTCTGCAGATCTTGGATTATGTGGCATGGAAGTACCCAATTTTCGCTATATACAGTTTGATATTGGTTTCGATTTGCTTGATAGTGGTTTAAGCTTAAAGGAAGCGCCAAATAGCAAGATCCTCTTGCTTACTGATTAAAGTCCTTATCTTCACATGTGTGCGTGCGCACATATTTATATGCATGTATATATATGTATATGTATGTATATGTATGTTTCTATATGTATGTATGTATGCGTATTTTGCTTTTTGGTTTGTTTCGTATATTTGGTGGATACAAAACGGGTTGCTTTTACTCACTGGTCTTTATTACATATTCACGTACCAAAGTTCATGCTTTAATTCTTATGCTTAACTATAAGCCAGCAGTTCTAAGAGATGCATGAAATGATATTCTCAAAGTTGGAAACTAGTCATGACCTGCTTTTCATTCATTTGCACATGTTTCCTACTAGGTAAACTGTCCCTGGACAATGCCCGAGTTAACAAATTTGAGTACTTTTCTTCTTGGTAATTATTGAAAGTCAAACAAACAAGTTCTCATATTTATATGTTTTGATTTTGCTTCTAGTGCCTTTTATACTTTGGAAGGAGAATTGGCACTACCTAAATAGATTATTGCAACTTGTATGACTAGTTATGCATAACGATCTAGTAAATAAGAATCCAAATTTTAGGATTGCGATTGAAACACTATACCTTTGAGCCATTTTTGGTCATCTTCTCTTGAAAAGTCTTTGCTTGACAGTGCTTTACTCTGTTGAAGTGCTTTTTAGCACTATCAATTTAAGTTCCTTGACATACCTCTTTGAATAGCTTGTTGCATGAATCTGTATTGTCTTAGAGGATATTTTTGTCTGAACCTCTTGTGGATTCATCTGTTCATTTTTATCTCTCTGTTTTTCTCAGCTGATTATACTGCAACTCCTTACTAGCTCTGAGACCAAAATGAGGCAGTTGATTATTTAGAAGTGAAATCTGAATCCAACAATGAGTTTGGGAACAAAAAGGGGGAACCTAGGAACAGAGATATGCTGCACTAAAGCACATGCCTAGTAGCTAAAGAATCACTACTTCGGATGGCTGGTTTGAAATGACATCTGAAAATTGAATCCTATTTTCTTTTGGGCTGTGTGCGTGTCTTCTCTAGGGGAAAATCTGTGGACAAGGAAAAGGGGAGTTGGAAAGGAAAATGTATAGTTTTGGTGATCCCTTTCAACAAATGCAAGGAAGTGTTGCAGCTTTGGACATGCTAATCTTGGTTGATGTCCTTTATTGCCTGCTTCATTATTTACCCTTGCATACAATGACCTGTCTTTTTAGAAGTTAATTGAATTGGCAATTGAACCGATAGCCAGAATTTGGTCTTTATATGTTTCAAACATTTAATGAATTTGATGGACTCTAGGAGATTTGACTTGAGAAGACATAAAGCATAGCTTGGGCTATACAATTGGAATTTCATGAATGATTGCATTTTTTGTCAAATGTTTTGGTTGTTGAATCTATGTTTTGAATTGTAAGGGAAAGTTAATTGAAGCATTAGAAGTTCTGTGAGTTGGATCTACTTATTTGGGCTTCTTATACTCTCTAAGGGCATAGTTTTAGTTGTTGTTGAGCACATTTTTAAATGTATTGTTTATTTGACTTTCATAAAACCTCTAAGTCATTGGTTCATCTTTGTGATGAACAGGCCAATCTTCATTTCTTGAGTGAAATGAAAATATCTAGTTCGATGAGCATTTCTTGCTATATTTTCTTTAACACTGATGAAGTTGAACAGAAATGTGCAGTAGTTTTAGTGTCTCTTATGATCATTTTCTCAAACTTGAAAGTTGCCAATTTGGATTAGGCCATTAATGACAAGATTCAGTCATTTGATTACAAGAACTACAGCGCTGAGATTAAAACTGCAGATGCCCAGGACTCTTACCAGGGAGGTGTAATAGTTTTGGTGACAGGATGCTTAACTGGAACTGACAATGTGAGAAGGAAATTCACGCAGACGTTCTTTTTAGCCCCACAAGAGAAAGGCTATTTTGTCTTGAATGATGTTTTCAGATACATTGAGGAGTTTGAAGCATCCGAGGTTAATTCTGCACTGCCAAATGGTGCGGCTGACCTTCCTTCAACAGTAACCTTGGCTTCAGATCCAGGTTTACTATTGCTTTCATCTAATTGAAGATATGAGTATGAAGTTGAAGCAATTTACTACATATTTGAAGAATTAGATTGCTGACTTCATTGCCACTGGTCTCGTTTCCAGAGCCTCATCCTGCTTCTGATCATTCTGCTTTCGATTCTACCACTGCTCTAGAAGCTGAGGACACCCAAAATGGAGCAGAAGTCTATGACCCTTCTGACAGTGAAACTGGTTCTGTTGTTGAAGAGGTGGTTAATGAACCTCAATCTAAGTCTACCCAATTGAGACAGTTATGGTCATTAGTTCAGATCTTTCTGCCACCCCAGAGGAGAAGAAATCTTATGCCTCAATTGTGCGTTTGCTTTAAGTATACTCATCCTTATTCAAATAATCTTTCATCACTACATGTTTCTCACTTTTTTTTTTGCCACCTTGTGGGGCTGGGTGTGTGTGTGTGGGATTCCATGGGGGAAAGTATTTTAACATGCTGTGGTACTCATTCTTTAAGACATGTTGCTCTTAGGTCAAAGTTCCCAAGGCAACCCCACGTTCTACTCCAGTATACGTTCCTACAAGTAGTGCACGATCACTACCTGCAAATGTGAATCAACAGGCGCATTCTCCAGAACAAACTTCCCCTGAGCCACATGCCTCAGCTCCTGCTGTTGAAAGTGGTCCTGAAAGTAGCAATGTTCACGAAGAAGGTACCTATTCAGTGTGTAAGAGATCATAATGAAGGTTTCGTTAATTCTGATCACGCTGAGAGGACTTGTCAGCACAAATTTTTATGTGGTAACTTGCAATAATGATGCGTTGTAACTTCCAGTTGGATTGTGTGTTTGTGTACCTTGGAATTGTAGGTTATTCCATATACGTGCGGAACTTGGCTTTAAATGCAACTCCTCAGCACCTTGAGGAGGAGTTCAAAAAATTTGGGGCAATCAAGTGTGATGGGATTCAAGTCAGAAGTAATAAGGTGTGGTTATGAACTTTTTTGCGGCATTTTACTTGATGCCATTACTTTCTTTTGCTTTTGTGAACTTTGTTTTATTTTTTATTTCAAGCAGCAGGGATCTTGTTTTGGGTTCGTGGAATTTGAATCTTTGGAGTCCATGCAAAATGCAATCAAAGTAAGATTTCTTTGGTGTAATTTCTTCATTACAAGTAACTCAGTTTTTCCATTCAGTACTGCATACCAGCAACTTGTCCTGATTGACTTTCATCCTTTTGAGCTTATGATTTTTTCATTGTCAAATGTTTGTGGGCAGTGTTGGTGTCTGCTTCTAGCCAATTTCTTAATACTTTATGTGGGTATTCTCATTGGACAAATAAAACTCCTACACCATTTTATATTCGTTAATCTTCTTGATAAATCGTCATAAATGCTTAATGATTTAGCCAATGTATTGTTCGTTTGCAGTATCAGTGTATATACACGGACACATACATATATACATATATACATGTACATAAATATACATATACACATTTACATATATACATATATGTATGTATGTACATGCGTGTGTAATATATGTATACATTGGTCCAGCTTACCTTGTACCTTTTATTTTCAGGATTAGACGCATCCATTTTCATAATATGTGGGAACAATTTCCTTACTAAAATGAAGCAATGATGTTTTATGCTTTTTGCAATTGCACCCTCAACTGTATTTTGGCTTTCAAACCCAACACTACATTACTGTTCCAAATGGGCTCAGTCTGTGCTGTATGAAAATTGAAAAATGATATAAGCAATCAACAATGAGTGCAAGGACATTACTCAATATGGATAAGAGTAAGTTGGGGCTCAAGTGAGTATTTGGAGAACTTTTGTCAATATCTGCTGGTTTATGTTTAGTTCTGTTAAACTGAAAACTCAGCACAGTAATAGACACATATTGCAGTTTTAGGTGCCAATTGAAAAAATGCAATAGAGTTTGAGGGTATAATATAATAAACTCCTTTAATTTAATAATTTGTTGCTGAAGACCACCTACATCAATTGTTGTACTTCTACTGACCATGAATTGTAATGCTTGATGGGTGCAATATTATAAAAAATTACCATACTTTGCAGGTTGATAGATAGGTTGGAAATGCTGAGTCTGTAGCTTTTGTTGCTTATATGTGGCTTGACCAATTTCCTCTATTCTCTTCATTATGATGATGTGTTTGTTTATCTTGCATTCTTGCTTATTGTTAACTATGATGAGCAGCATTATAATTTGTGGTGCATGTCCATTTTCCCCTGCGTTCGAACCCATTTTTCACTTTTCTGCTTTATGCTATATGTGATCGTTAATCTTCATATCCACGGTTGCCATGCGGATCACACTGTGATCACAAAATTACTGTCCGAGGACCATTACAAGCAAATCTTAGGTAGTAGAGTAACGAGGGGCATACTGCAGGGCTGATTGTGAGTATTCTGCTTTTAAAATTCATCCAACTTAATATGCTAGTGGCAATAGCATAGAAATTAAAATGATTACATGTCCCTTTACAGTGCCTTCCTTGCTATGCTGAGTAAAGAGTGTAGTTGGCTTTTTTGCTTTAAAGTCACATTAATGTCTTTTGGAAATTTTCAGTGTTTAACTCTGTGTTGCTATATTATTTGTTTCCTGCAACTTGTCTCGTATGTGGACCTACAAACCTCTTCGACTATATTCACCTGAAATTAGGGAAAGAGAATTAATAGACAAGGCGAAATAGGTATTAAGACTAGTACCTGCCCTGTTTTATTTTTTATTTTTTTTAATTACATTTGGGGCGTGCATGAGTTTACTGATTGTTAATGCTGTGCCCTGACTTTGTTCTTGTGCTCAAATGTATCTGATCGTTTTTTTTACTTTAATAGGAATTTGGTTTATAATTATCTTTACTTTTACACTTTCTTTTAGCTCGACTGCTGCTTGTATACTGTGTTATTCACACAATTAATGTTAACTTAGCTTCCCAAAAATTGACCAAGAAAAGATATATACTGGAAAAAAAGAAGATATTCTAGAATTGTTCGGTTTATCACTACTTTGGCATTATCCACTGTATTCTTAGTTTCTTTGTTGTAAAAATTATGTTTTATGCACAACTATTTAACTTGCACATGTTTTCAACCACAAATCAACTTTATAGCATCACCAGTAAGCATTGGAGCCGTCAAGCCGTGGTTGAAGAAAAGAGAACCAACACGCGAGTTAGTGGAAATTGTTTTATCCATCCAGAGTCTATTTTCAGTCAGGAGGACTAAGTACAGTCCCTTAAGTATGAGACATGTTGCTATTTACTTGGCAGTTGTAAGCAGTGGACGGTGAGGTATCCTTCCACAAGGGGTGGGTTTCGAAGTGATAGCTTCAGGGTCGTGGTAGCTTTGGTGTGCCGGGTTATGCAGGAGTGAGTTCAGAAATCAGGGTGAGTTTTCAAGCAGACCTAAAGCCTCTGGTGGGCGCAATGCAGAGACTTACCAACGGTAGAAACAAAGTGGAAGTGGGAGATTTAATCGTCAAGCGTGCTAACAAGGGTGCTATTTCTGCATAGGAGTTGGAGAAACAACTCTTTTTCTTTTTTTAACTGTGAAGAGGCATTTCCCCCCCCTTTCTTCTAGGTAGCTTAAATGCGATCTCTTGTAACTTTCTGATCACTCCAATTTATCCTCTAAACGTTTCCCCATGAGGAACTGTGTCGAAGGTAAACTTTTGCTTATTACGGTTTTGGGCTAGATAGGAGTTTTTGTGCTTTCATTATATGAAATGTGTTTTTCCAGCATTGTATTCATTGAGAAATGATCTGTAATTTTGTTTTTGTTTTCCGAATAAGTAGTTTAGTTAGGCGCTAATGCTGATTCCTTGGTTTAATTGAAAACAAGAATGAACTTTGTGAATTTGAATGATGATAGTTTAACATGTTTACTATATTATCATGGAAAATAATTCTGTCAAAGATCTGTTTGATGAGTCTGACGAAAACGCTTTGGTCTGTACAACTTGAATGCACAACGCTGGTAACACTATAGATTCTTTGTGGCTTTGATCCTGCCAAGTTTTCCCAGTTCCAAGGGAAGAAAAGGAAAAATATAAATACCATATTTGGCAAAATTCTGCAACTCAATTTGATTTCTGCAAATTAGATACAAGATTTGACGCTGCAAAAGCAGCTGATCCGCCAATGACAGAAAGCAAAGCTACTACAATCTGCAACGCTATCTCCCAAGGATAATCCCAGGACCAAGTAGACACAGGAAGGACCCAAAAGCAGCAGCAAGAAGCTGATGGTGAAAAGGACAGATGGAGTTCCAGGATCAGTCGCTGCTGAAAGCACTCCAAGTTCTTCTGCTTTTGAAAGAAGTCCTAGTCTCTCTATTGTTGACAGGGACAGACCAAATTTTTCTGCTGCCGACAGTAGGCCTGCTTTCTCTGCTTTGGTTAGCAAGCGCAGCTGCTCCACCCTTGTTAATAGTTTTACAGATGGTGCAGTTCCTGATACGGTGGTTCGAGGTCCTGGCTTCCCAAGGGGAAGAATGGTGTAGCCTGCATTTGTTATAGGAATAATTTCTTTAGAAACCTGAACAAGTGTGCATCCACATAACTCGTACAATAGGAGATTGTTACCGACATGGTAACAGATGCTACTACAAACATTCAAGTGGTAATTAATGAGTATGATACGTCAAACATCATGGCAATGCAGAGACTCCAAATCCATTGCATTACATGAATTTAGCAATGATGATGATGATGTACTTGGCTGCTGCACTGGATAGCAAAATCACAAACTATAAAGCGAGGTATTCTCTACATTTTCAGAAAACCTAACACCTTGCAGATTGAAGCTTTGTAACTTGATGCTATATCTTTTTGGAGCATTTTCTGTCATTAAGATCCAATAATTATTAAAGAAAATTGTCATTTTCTAGGAATAAAGATTCATCACCCGCGGCTTCTGATGTACTTTCACAAAGCAATTCAGAGAAGCAACTAAAACTAACTTTGAAGCAGAAATAACTGTAGCAAAGACAGATAAATTCCTCAAGATGATACTACTGGAGAAATGTGGAATAACCTTTTTAGAACTAACAGTCCTGGTAGCTGCCGGTACTGGCTTTGGGCTAGCCATTGATTGAACTAGAAGAGGTGAATATGAGGCGGTCATGGCCTCTATCATCATCCCTTGCCTGTGAATCTCAGAGCTAAGTTCCAAGGAGATGTTGGAATTAGAGCAGTGGACGAGGGCGATCACAATTCGATTCTTGTTGGTGGCTTATCCACGTGTAACTAAGTGGTTGGCTTATCAAATGCCTTATAGGTCCGTACCTTACGATGATGAGTTTGCTTCTTTGCGACTAAGGTAGGACCAAATGGAAAAAGGATAATTTAGCTCCAATAATCAAAATACCAAAAAGCAATTTCATATTATTTGGACAGAGTATTATTTGAAATATTATTTGAAATAATTACTGTAGCACTTTTTATGATAATATATGTGAGATAAAAAGGTGGTTGGAAATATAAAAAAATAGATTGAAAAATATATTTATGATGCAAGCGAAATATTATTTGGAATAAGTTTTGTATCCAAACACTCCCATTATTCCTTAAGTTTTTAAAGTGCATCAAAATAGCCAATAGGTGCATATTAAGCCATTTCTTTGCATTCTGCTCAAGTGAAATTAGCCACGGTTTTCTGTACAAATTAACCGTGCATATTGGAACTAACAAAAGCTTGAAAATAAATTAATTAGAAAAAATTAGAGTCAATGTATCATGTTCCCTTTAAAAGAAAAAAGCACCTAGATAAGCACTAAATTGCATATGAGACAAAAAAGGAAAAAAAATTTCAAAATAGTTGAAACAGTTAGCATATGTAGAAAATTTTGAAAAAGATAAGAGGATAAGTACACAACACATTAATTCTTATTATTTTTTAAACCTTCTTTTTAAATGGTTTTAACACGAACATTTAAAAAAGAAAATTAAAATACTGAAGTTAACATATTTCCCTTTTATGTTATGAAAATACAAATAGTAATTCTCTTGAAAATGATTAAAAAAATATATTTTAAGAATTTTATAAATATTTTTTGCAATTAGCTGCACACCAATACTAGAAACTCAAGCGGGTAATCCATTGATAGCATAATCCGGCTCAGAACCGCGGGTTACGGATTTCACTGGCCCGGTTGCGATCCTAGGCCTGTGCCAACTAAATTTCGTTTATTTACAAAAACGCACTCGGTCCCGGACGGCTACTAGTTGACGATTTGTTATTGGATTAGTTATCCGACCTATCCGGTATTCACCTTGATAAACTCTGCCCCTGCCAGAAAACCTAACCCCAGTTTTCTCTGTAGCTTTTTCTCTCAAGATCTATGGCGGACTCTATAGTATCAGTGGAGAAGATCAAAGAATTCTGGCACTCTCAGTTTCACGATGAAGAAAATTGGGCTCTCAACATGGTAATTTAACTAAATTTAGATTTCCTGCAATTTATTTTCTGGACGGTAGGTTGTGCACCACAGGTGTTTGAATATATGCCTGCTTGTATTAGTAAAAGGTCTCTGATGCAAGTTTCCTCCCTTTTGTATTTGCAAGATTGAATTTAGTTGACCCAGTTGGTGTTGTCTGCAATTATTATTATTATTATTTTTTTGTAGAATATTCTGTTAAAACAGTTTCTGTCCATAACTGCTTAAGTTAATGGCTTTTCTGGACGGGAACTCTAATACGAGATAGAAAACAATTTTTGATCAGCTATTAAATCGTCTGAAAACTTGGGAGTTCTATAAGGTGGCCGAAGGCTTACTTTTTTTTTCTTCCTTCTTTCCTATTGGATTTTTATATCGAAATAAACAAATCAAATCATAATGATTATTTTAAAGTCCACGCGGATCAGGATAATACATTTTTCTACCAGAGTTTACTGGCTTCTCTGGTTGCCTTTTCCACCAATTTTCCCTTTTGTAGTTAGTGTCCTGGATTTTTAGATGGCTAAATTTTAGTTGTATTTAGGAACTTATTCCTGCATTAAAGAAATGGGATTGGTTAATACCTACTTGAGCTTATATTAGGCCTCTGGAACTTATGAACATTCACACTTTCCTTCTTTATGTTCTTGCAGTTCTTTTGCCCACGAAATATGATTGAGTTATTTATGTGTATGTCTCAAAAACTATCTAAAGTAAACTTGGAAGAATATGTTTTTATAGCTATCTGAAATTGTACTTTGCATTGTGTAAGTTATCCAAATTTCAGTTCACTTAATTCATCAGACATTTGTTGATTGAAAGGTGCATTTTGGAAAAGTCATACAGAATAGAATGTAATGGATTGTCTGATTTTGCTAATCATTTTTAGGCATTTATTCATGCTTTGTTATCTTTAATTCTAGCTTTCTTCATGATTTTTTTTGTAATAGATGCCAATTAAGTAGATGAAACAGGTAATTAGTTTTGTCCAAGATAGCTATGACCTCACTCTCTTCTGGTTGTGCAGAAAGTTTTTACAAAGAATGTGAGACCTGATGCAAGATCTGTATAGAATTTATGATTGCCCTCTGGAGTCATTTGTTGTATGGATAGATGTCTTTTTATCCTCATTTCTGTTTTGCATTCTATTCATATATACCCCGATTGACACAAGACATGAATTTTTCATCCAGTTTATTTTGTTTATCTTCAAGAGTGTAGTTAATGAATGCCTGTTTTTTGGATAGTGGTTGACAAGTTGGATATAGAACAATGGGTTTTGAGGGAAGCATGCAGACTACTTTTCAAATTTCACTTTCAAAATTGAAGGTTCCTGACTGTAGGGCTTGTGTACAAACAAAAGTCATTGCTTTAAACATACAAGGCATGAGAGCTGACATTACTCTACCCTTTACCTTGTCCAGGCCTGAGTGCTTAATTTTTTTTGTTACTACGTCTATTAATTTAGCTCAGAAACTGCTACAGTTTTACTACTTCCTGTGAATTAAAAGTTTTACTGCCTAAGTAGGAATAGAGTGGAATTCTGCTTCCATTTTTATTCACCTTTTCTCTTGGTTTTGTTTGTTTCCACAGAAACTGCTTCGGGCCGCAGGGCTGTTTGTTGGCTCTATTGTGTTTATGCGGTCATTTGGTGATATTATGGCACTTCCCTAGAATTTCAGAATTTGCCGTTTGTTGTTCTCTTTTCTTCCTATGTTGATTGAGTTGGATAGCCGTTGTACTTGATAGCGGTGGGTGTTGTTACTTTAATGGATCTATAGCAATTATGATAAGATTCTTTTCCTCTTTCTATCTTCATTACTGTTATTGTGATTTACTTGTATACATCCTCGAAATGAGCAAGTGTGTTTGGATTGAAATGATTTGGGAAAAAATAATTTGCTTCACAAATTCCAATCACTTTTTTATCTTTTCAATCATATTTTTATCTCATATACATCGCATTACAAAAAATGGTACAGTAATTATCTCAAATTGATCATTCAAATAAACTCCTTTCTGCTTCCACCAATTAGTTTGTCTGATCGGTGATTGATAGCCATTCGTGCACCCATGTTATGAAGTTAAGATGTGAACCCTGAATTATGTGATTTAGTTCGAAGATGACGACTTTGTTAAATGAAAGAATAAGAATTGCGATACTAAAAAATGTCATGCATTTTCCATATCTTTCTGGTCATAGTTATCAACTTGTTATGACAAAAATATTCGAGTTCTCGATGCAGTTCAGTCAAATCAAGATTCTTAACTGACGAGTACTCAAATTCCCAATCTCCGAATTGCTGCGTAAATCGCAATCAATTTGCTAGCCCCTGTTTTGTTGGAATTCGTTTTGGTTTTTTCGAAAGAGAGAGGGAAATTTTGGAACAAGGGATTTGGAAGAATTGAAACTTGCGAGTAAGGTCTAAATTTTGTAACATTTGAAATTGAAGTATAGGTACTGTTCATAAATGATAAAAAAATGTATTTTACAGGCAAAATTATAGAATAATCCTTGGTGTACTTACTAGCGGTCGTATGTGCATGTACGTTGTACCTATACATTTGAGTGTGTATATATATATATATATATATATATATATATGTTACATATCTAGATTAAATGAGTACATTCATATGTATACATGTGGTGGAGAACACCGTGCAATGTGCGGTGGAAATTTTCATGAAAATTTTCAAGTGTGCCCAATTATTTAGATTTTTCCATTTATGCATTGTACATAATTGAATTTCAAGTTTGCCCAATTATTTAGGTTTTTCCTGTTACATAATTGTTGCAAATTTGTATAAAGCTGAATCATAAATATTGTACTCATCCATTCAAAATTAGATAAAGCTGTATTATATTAATTTATTTAAAAGTTTCTAAAGCAATTAGGAAAAGTAATTTCGAATAATACTATAGCTGTGAAGTGCATCTATGTTAGCAGAAAATAAGTTCGAAGAAAATGGGACTCTAATCTAGAAAAAAAAAGTCAAGTATAATTGTAAGTAAGAGGACCTGCTGGATTTCTTTCTCCACCAAGTTTTACCAATAGAAAGTAGCATCATTGCAATATTCTTAATGTTCCAAAAGGTATAAATTATAAAAATACAAAAAAAGTTATGAAACGCCTTTTTTGTCTCAACTACTAACACCCATAAAGGCTCCTTTTTTTTTTTTTTTTTTATGTAAATAGCAAGAGATAGTAGATTCAACGCTATGGGGAGCAGAGAGGTGCATATGCTTCCTGTCTGTGATAAAATGAACAAGTCATTATCTCAAGTTTAGAACCTTATTGACATAGCAAATGAGATTTGATAAAGCAAATTAAAAAAATATACAATGGAAATATTTTGGGTGCATGATAACAGCAAAGAAAGGTATTAACACCTTTCAAAATGGCATTTGAGGCCAAAATGTTCATCCACCGACCCAACAAAATTTATCACTTTAATCTTGTTTTCCTACAACAATTGAAACCTATTCAAAACTGTTTTTGAATCTTGGAATTAAAGTCACCAAAAGACAAAAGAAATCCAGGTTCTTTGGAATTCATAAAAGGTAGACACATCAAGAAAAGAATATAGGAACTTATAGAATAGAAGACTTGCAATATTATTTTTTGAACTAATTTTGTCTATTTAAATAGCATAAAGTAAGAACTCAGCAAGGAGCTTCATACTCTTGTTTCATCAAATGGAATAAAACATCTCTACACTTAAAGTCACCAAGTAGATGTACAACTATTTATTTGGTTTGTGACGCCCCCACTTCTCCCTAAGGCGAACCAAAGAGTATCCGCGGGACGCCTGCCCAACT